GGCATGAACTTGCTATTGGTAACCACCCAAGAGAAGTCGTGTGATGAGTGTGAGGGGAAACAATGAAAAAGACCAAAGTAGGCATTCCTTGGCCAGAAAAAGCCACTTCATAGCTATGTGGTATAGACCGTGCTGAATAGTGGAGGTCAATTCTTCAGCCTTGCAAGCTGTTGAATGGTGCAATCCCAGCAGAAGTTGCTATAGCTTCTGCTATAGCATGGCAATCATCGCTTTCGGCGATGGGCGTCAAATGGTCCAGGTCAGAGATGTGTGTGTGTGTGTGTGTGTGTGTGTGTGTGCGTGTGTGTGTGTGCGTGTGTGTGTGTGTGTGTGTGTGTGTGTGTGTGTGTGTGCGTGTGTGTGTGTGTGTGTGTGTGTTTCTGTGCCTGTGCGCTGAACTACAGGTACCTGTTTCTAGTCCCATTGCTGCACAAGACAACCGGGCAAGTTCAGCTTCTGCCTCTGCTCCTGCCGCTGCTTCTGCTACTGCAACGAGAGTAAGTTGAACGACATACCTCTGTTGTACGATATCCAACAGAGTCAATGTCGGTTGCGAACGAAACATCCGCACAAGGCCAAATATGCTATTTTGCCCAAATGTGGTTCCTTTTTTTTTTATCCCAGATTGGGCCTCATTCCCCCACCTCATTCCCCCACTGTGACAGTTTGGTGCAGTTTGCTGCATAGTGTCCAGCGCAACAAGCACCTCATGAATATCGGATAGCTATGCGAGTCACAGCACGAGCTCCTGTGTTAGGAGCAACCAACTTTCCTATACAATTGTACCCAAAGTCACTAGCACTATGTCATGCTTACAGATACTTTCATTACACTTTGTGTTGCATGATATAGGTTCACCTCACTTGTTTTTCTCCTCAATCCTCATGATGGCTTCTGGGCGAAAATTTGATTGAAATATTCTTATTGTGCAGCGAAGATTCCAGTTGATTTGAGCATGGTGTGTGTATGGTGTGTATGGTGTGTGTATGGTGTGTGTATGGTGTGTGTATGGTGTGTGTATGGTGTGTGTATGTTTTTTCAAGTAACTTACAGATACTAGTAATATAAATCAATGATATTGTAAAATTTTGAGGTATTATGGATGTTGTATCTCTGATCCTTTCAGGCTGAAGCTTCAGCAGCTGCAAGCACAGCTGTTTCATCCGTTGGTAGAGGATATCATGTCCTACCTGCTATGCCAACCCCAACACAGATTGCGAACATCAAGAAGCGCAGAAAGGTACGATTGGATGAGTCTATTTTGTTTTGGTCTTACAAGTACTTCCAGTAGCAAGTTCAGGCGATATCGATTAGGAGATTGTTTTGGAATATGTCTGGTTAGTACATACCCTTCCCTTTCCCCGGTGACAATTTCAAAAATGTATTTAAAAAAAATACGAAAATTTGCGATGGATATTGCGGATTATCACTCCAAATTTGAAGCCCATACGCGGTGTTTAATGTCAATATGCGGCCATTTTGTGGTGTACACAAAGTAAAACATTGGTTTTACTATGGGTCTACAGCCACTCACTAACCAGGCAGGCACAGTGTGTTGGTCAAAGACCATGATTGAGAAACGAGAGGTACCTGGTTCAAGTCCTGCCTGGGAGCGTTTTTTCCAGCCGTGCTGCTACCCACAGTCAACTGGGAACTTGTGGCCAGGCACAAGGGGTACATGGATGCAGCTAATGGGGTCGCTTTCGGCACTTGTGCCAGTGGTTGTGAGAGTTACCCACTCACCCCCACCGTTAGGCGCTGCATCTGCCGCTAGGGTTTATCGGGTGTTAGCGGCCGTCGTGAGTTCCCTTCGGGAACTGATACGATAATTTACTTTTTTTACTTACAGCCACTCACTAGACATATCTGCATGGTGCTAACAAATTACTGATTACATTGAATGGCATCGCGTACAATCAGCTTCCACCATGGGAAGCATAGCACAGCCTATGCCAATATTCTTTTATTTTCTGAATAGAAAAAACGCAACCAGTGTCTGCCCCAGGACCGGGTCAGCGACCCGTTCTGGATGTGCTTAGACCCATTAAGGTAGCCCAATACCAAAACTGGTGCGAATATATATATTTTTTAATATTAACAGCACTACCTAGATGTATGGAGCAAGAAATGACGATTTATCAGGGGGGGGGGGGGGTGGAGGGGGACGAGTATTTGGGCATCATCTTCCAGCATGCCGCTCTGATATTACGGACATTTTGTGTCATTTCTTCATAGTTGGACTCGGGTCGAGAGCCAAGGATTACTTTTTAAGAAGAAAAGAGGACCAAGGAGCCTTCACCTTCCCCTCCGATGTTATTTCTATAACTTAGAACCTTCTAAACTGGAAGGCTGTTGGAGTGCGCGTCCAAGATGTACTAGAGCTGATTGACAGTTAGGTGTAGAACGTCTGTACTGTTGGTCAGTGTTGTGCAATGTTATCGCATGAGCTGATTGTATAGTAACTGCTGGTGTTAGTGGATATTATAGGGTAACTTGTAGCTCTTTGGTCCTCTTTTCTTCATATACATTTCTCCATAGGGTCTACTTTGCTAGATAGCTTTGCATAGGCCAATATCATGCTCTAATTCCTGCAGATAGGCCTCCTGTACAGAGCAAGATCTCTAAACAACAAATAACAGTCTTTTCACCCACTGCAATCTTCCCTAGCCGTTTGCAGCCGGTGAAATGGACGCAAATTGTTACTTAGGTACGCATATGGACAAAATGGAGACTAAAAGGTAACATAAACCCAACTATGAGTTGTTGTCCTTTTCAGTCGAGAATTGCTGCACTTGACTGAAACAGACAAGAGCTGATTTTGAAGTTTGACCTTGCCCTCAGTGTTGGCTAAAGACCGTGCACATAAAGCCACCATCACAGTTTTTGAACGGTTTCTGCCGGGAAGACAGCTACACCATAGCTCAATGGTTAGAGCATCGCTGGCCTCAAGCGAAGGTCCCTGGTTCGAGTACTGATACAGTCAATATATTTGTTCAAACGTATACTTCAGACTAATCAGGCGAACTACTCTGCATCAATCTGAAAGCGAGAAAACACATAGCTGGAAATGTGTTACCATTTGGTCTACATTTTGTCCATTTACGTCCATAGAAACAATTTATGCCCATTTCTGTGCATTTTTTCCACCCGTGTGTTTGTGTTATGTGAGTGTGTGTTTGGGGGGAGGGGGGGGGGGGAGGGTTGGTGAGTGTGTGTGTGTGTGGGGGGGGGGGGGGGGAGGAGGGTTGGTGAGTGTGTGTGTGGGGGGAGGGAGGGTTGGTGAGTGTGTGTGTGAGGGGGGGGGGGGAGAGTTGGTGAGTGTGTGTGTGTGGGGGGGGGGGGGGGGGGGAGAGTTGGTGAGTGTGTGTGTGGGGGGGGGGGGGGGGGGGGGAGGGTTGGTGAGTGTGTGTGTAGTTTGTGTATGTGTGCGTGTGAGGGTGTGTGTGTTTGTGCTTCTGTGTATGTGAATGTTTGTATTATGAATGTAGGAATATGCGAGTATGTGTATGAGAGTGTTTGTTTGTATGTGTGTGTGTGTGTGTGTTTATGGTTATGCAGCTTAAAGGCAGCTGTATGTCAAGGTCAAGGTGTGTTTATGTGTGTGTTTGTGCATATGTGTGTGTTTGTGTGTATGTGTGTGTATGTGGTTCTATTTTGTCATGCAGTGGAACAAGGTCGTAGGAGGTCCTGGAAAGAGTTTTTTTGAATTTTGGAATACTTCACGTCCGGAAGTACCACCGCATGGCAAACATGCCAGGCTTGCCACGTACAGAGACAAACTGGTTGCTGTGTGGTATGATGGTGTGAACGTCACCAAGATGATGGAGACATCAGACCTGCAGACATGGCACAGTATTGACCTACCAAGTGAATACAGTAAGCTGACTGGCCCATCACTGGCATCTCATGGTCGTATGCTGTACATGCACTGTAACACATACACCAAGAGCACCAACAGATGGGTGCACTCTATTCTGCAGTACTGCGACACACCAGATAACGGTGACGACGGCCGCAGTGGTGGTGGTGGTGGTGGTGATGGTGGTGGTGGTGGTCAGTGGACCAAACTGACGGACGTCCCACACTGTAACCATGCCTGGTGTACTCTACATGTAGGTGCTGATGCTATTTCTCTATATGGTGGCTACGATGGTGAACGAAATCACAATCATGTTAGTACCTATTCTCTAGCCAGCAAGCAGTGGAGCTCTTCTTCATCATCCAATGCTAGCCTAGTATTACCTTCATTGCCACTACCATGCAGCCTGGCATCACTTGTCCCATTCCCTGATTCACTGTACTTAGTTGGTGGTGTTACTGGTTGTTTTCCCAAACACCATGATGGTAGGTGGGTGTCCACCAGTCCACCTGATGGTGTTGAGCTGAAGTTTAGTGCAGCATGCGCGCTTTCTGACCAGTGCATGGTTATTTGCCCCCACACTCCTTCTACTAAGTGTGTTGTACATGATATTTCATCTGGTCAGGTCTATCCACTACCAGCTATGCCAGAGTTCAGTGGTTACAACCCATCACTCACACTGTTTAGCAGTACCCTGGTACTCAGTGTAGGTGGAGATGACACTCCTACTGCTCTGTACACACTGGATATGAGTGTGTGAGCGTAGTAGGTTACTAACTACAGTCAATCACTGATGATAACTACAGTATGCAAACTGTACTGCTTTTCACTTTCTTTCTATCGTCAGAAAATTGCTAATCTTTGTTTTCACATCTCTCTGATTGTCAAGTAATTGTCCAGTTTTACGCTGCCTCATCCCCTGTAACGTATACCCAGATTGGTTAAGTGAATATTACTCTAACCCCTATAATCACGTGCAAACTTACCCATTCTTTCCTTGATGCCTCCACTTCATGATTGTGTATTATGAACTGAAAACTATTTTTGATTGTGCGTCCTCCCCTGACTCTGTTATGTTCTAATCTCTGTTTCTGACATTGAGCACTTTCTGCAGCTCGGGGATCAACGAATTTGTTCATTAGGTGTGTGGAGTGTTATGACTGTATGCTTTGAGGACGAGGGTTGGGGGGGGGGGGGGCTTGTGGAGTTGCATCATGCATGGTTTTCATAGTCGGAGGACCATATATTCAAGAGGCTGTTCAGTGAACACCTGATACTAATGCTTGTCTGCATGTTTGTGCTTTGCATTTCTGATATCCATAACAAAGCCATGTCTGGTTTCTTGAGGAGAGAGACGGAGAAAGAGACCGATACAAAGACAGAGCTAGACACTAAAGGCCTATTCATATTCAAACGCGTCGCATACGGGAAAGCCATCGCGCGAAGGTCGCACGATGAATTTCCCGTACGCGAAATGAAGTATGAATAGTCTTAAAAGACAGAGGCAGAGAAGCCACGCGTTCATGCGCACACACACCGCACACATACGGTACTAGCTCCCTGCCAGTATCTGCTCACATGGGTATCTCAGGGAGACGGGAAAAGCATCTAAAGGAATGTTGAGGACGTGAGTCTATTGGCTAGTGAGCGGACTCACACTTAAATCCCCGTCCTCTGGTGTGGATCTTTGGAAATGATTCTACTATTTCAAGTTTGTTCATCATACTACAGTAGGTGACTCACAACCCCGTCCAGGATAAAAAGATTGGCAGCATCTAGGTTACAATGTTTGAGTTCTTACATCAGTGGGGATCTTATTTTCATGTAGACTTCACTGGAGGACTTTTTCCGCCAGAGTTAATGAGAAAAAGAGTAATGATTGTCAACTAGCACTAGGCGGATAATGCCGGCAGTTAGCAGAATTTGGTCATTTACAGGAATGTTTTATGTATGTTGAGTATTTGGACAAAGGAATGAATCAGTGAATTGCCGGACATAAGTTTGGTATGGTTTCGCTATTTTGATGCTTTTCGAGCAAAATCTGCCAATTTTTCTATCAAAACTCGTCAATGGCAATGGCACACAACCGATCTATTCAGTTGCTACAAACTCGATGCGTTTACTGGAACCTAGTGGTTCTAGATGTGTGCAAATACATGTATGCCATTTCGGACTAGAATCAATCTTACCATGCGTTTTCAGTCATCTATCGTTCTGACCAATGGCGATGTTTTTCTTAACATTACTTTGTTGTTTTCAAAACCGTTTCCTTGGAGACACTAAAGTCATCACATTTACAAGCACAAGGAGAACACACTTGAGGTTCTTGAACGGCAGCGTGTTGAGTGTTTACACAGTGAGTAGTCATGTACATTATGCATATAAAAACCTCTCTAGGAGCGGTTCTGAAAAACCTTTACTGGTGCTGCCCCGTCGTAAAAGGAAGAAATTACAACTGGCGCATTGTCCCCCAAACGTAAACTGATCCACATAAACCGCGAATGACGGGACCTGAACGCACCAGTAGCACGAGGTTCCTACCTCTGGATGCAGCTGGGGACTCTGGTCCATGGCATAGGCCATTACTTATTACATGGCCGTCGATGAACTCCAATGTTGGATATTCCACGTAAGTAGCTTCGTGTAGTAACAAAGTTACGGTACCATTACACTGTGATACCTTGTACCAGTGGTGGTGTTACCCTATGTTGCATATCCGGGTCACATAACATTGCCCCAAAGCCCGGGCAAACGTGCCCTTCCGGGTACTGCAGTATGGTAAATCTGATTTTTCTTGGAGTAAGAGGAAGGGTGAGACATTTGCATAGTTCCTCCCAGCATTCATGGATACCAGCATGTGCTGCACACTCCCCTCCCCCTTCTACTGCCTGAAAAGGGCAACACACGTGAGAGCGTTCACCAGACGAGTACAGTCGGAGGAGAACATGGTAAAAGGCAAAAAGGCAACACACATGAAGCCCTTATAAACAAGCAGTGGCCACTCTAGTTCCAGAAATGTTGGGCTTACATTCCAGGCATTGCCGTCGGATTACCACGCTTCTTCCTCTTCTTCCATCTTGCAAAATTTAATACTCCTTCCCGTAAGTTTAGTCCTGGGAGTACAGTCGACGGAGAACATGGGAAAAGGCAAAACGGCAGCATACATGTACATGACTCCCTTGTAAACAGGCAGTGGTAACTCTAGCAACAGCAATGTTGAACTTACATCCCAGCCATTGTCGCCCGATTCCCACGATTCTTCTTATTCGTCTTCCACCTTGCAAACATTCCTTCCAGTAAGTTCATTCCTGGGTCTACTTATGCGCAGTAGATTGGCGATGGCGGAGATGGAGCCGATCACGGAGCCCTATTGGGCGCCCTTGAGCAGATTGCGGGGCCGATGCCGGACACGCAGTCAGTACGAAGTAGCAAATTGCGGAACTCCTCCACGTAGATTGGGGTCGCGGGGTCAGCATGTTGTTCCAAACCAGTCCACAGCTTCAGCTAGCGATAGCCAAATGCACTAGTCTTGGTAGGGCGGTAATGGGGTCACGTGTCAACAAAGTATCAACAAAGTGTCAACAAAGTGTCGACCAAGTGTATAACGGTACACTCAGCGGTACACTAATTCTCGTGACATTCTCGTGTCACCAAACTGGAACATCAAGCACCAGTATGGAAAGGTTTCAGACCGAAAGCCTTTCCAATTTATGCCTTCACTTCAGATGGCATACACGGAATTGCATAGGAGCAAGAACAATGAAGTACCCACACAAATATATATTCCCCCACCCACTCTTGGTGCGTCTAGGTGGCTATGAAGTCGAGACCTTAGGTCGGCGGAGCTCCCTAAACCTCACCACCACTGCCACGATTCAGGTTGTGCGTGCTTCCCCTAGCTGCATCTCATGTTTGGCATGTTTAAGTTTTTTTAATTTTATTTTTACAAAGACCACTTAAAAGTGGTCTTTGTAAAAAATAAAATTAAAAAAACTTGAAAGGATAACAAGACGTATCGGAATGTAAATGAACCTAACAAAATGGATATGCTGGCTCGGAGAAAATAGGATGTGAAACATTTCGTTGGTCAGAGCTGTGAGCGCATCTCCACCGACCCCTGTCTTTCTAGGATCTGTCAAGAACAAAGCTACCGGTGTATATATTCTAATCCGATAAACGTGCGTGTGCTGGCGTGCGTGTGTGTGTATGCGTGTGTGTGTATGTATGTGTGTGTGTGGTGTGTGTGTGGTCTGTGTGTGTGTGTGTGTGTGTGCGTGCGTTTGTGTGTGTATGAGTGTATGTGTGTGGGTGGTGGTAGTGGTGGTGGTGTGTGTGTGTGTGTGTGTGTGTGTGTGTGTGCGTGTGCGTGTGTGGGTGTGTGTGTCCTATATGGTGCAGTGGTATGTGCAGCGATTTCCAATCGAGAGGCGGCGGGTTCGATTCCCGCCGATTATGGTCACACAATTCTTTCTTCTCCTTCCCAGACTCCTCCTGACTTTTCTTATAATTCTCCTGCGTGGTTGCCAACAGCCTGTGCATGGTGCATGACGGAGTATCTGGTGTGATGTGTGTCCGGGAAAAAATGAAAAAGACCAAAAAGAACGGATTTACTGGCCAGAAGAAGCCACTTCATAGCAGTGTGATGTAGACCAAGTTGAATAGTGGTGGTCAATTCTTCAGCCTTGCAAGCTGTTGAATGGTGCAATCCCAGCACAAGTTGCCATAGTTTCTGCAGTAGCATCGCTATCATTGCCTTCGGCGTTGGGCGTCAAAAGTGAAAAGGTGTGTGTGCGTGTGTGTGTGTATGTGTGCGTGTGTGTGAAGCGCTGGCGGTTTTGCAGTTCATCGTTGTGTGGAGCGTCAGACATCGGACGAAATACCAGCTGTTTCAACGAGATGCAGCCTGAATTTGGACTGCTGCCAGCACCATTGCTCGATCTGTGATCGCTGCATGAAGAGTCAGGCTGGTTTTAACCGCCATAATTGTACTCGAGGCAAACGACTGCGAAAGGACCAGAGGACTAATCTGCCCATTCAATGCAGCCTATGTAACGAACGATTCTCCCGCCCGCAGGACCTCACCCGCCACCGAAGACAGAAACACTAGCTATGTGTAGAACGGTCCCCTTTCACCTCAATTATTCTCCTTGTTTCTTTTTTCTCGCTGTTGTCTCCCGCTTCTGGGAGCGACGTGGCCATTTTGTGGCAGTTGTACATAGTAGTAGTAGTAGTAGTGTGTGTGTGTGTGTGTGTGTGTGTGTGTGTGTGTGTGTGTGTGTATGTGTTTGTGTATGTGTGTGTGTGTGTGTGTGTATGTGTTTGTTTGAATGCTACACATAGATCGTTAACAGGGTTGACTTTATAATCATTAGTCAGAACAGAACGCAACTGTTGCCTGATAATTGCGAGAGCATGAAACTTGAAGTCGCAGCAAACAAACCTTGATTGTCCTTGTTGTTCTGTTCTGTATTACACACTACCTCCGATATTGAGCACTGTCATCACACTGGGTACATTCTCATTGGTCATGGTCACATTGGTCATGTATTCATAAATCATTGGTCATGTGACTTCAGACATGTATTCCTTAGGGCGCGCTCACACTGCGACCATGAGCAAGCGTCCATGCGTCAGCAAAACGCAGAAACGTGGCAGTCGTGCTCACACTGGGCCTCGTACACGCATAGACGTGAAGTTGTCACACAAACTTTACGAATTGCAGTTCGTATCCAAAAGAGTTCGTGCGTTTCCTAATAAAGTTGTGGCCCGTTTTGGATGTAATTTTTCGCATGTTGCATGTTGGAGGAAGTGCCTCGTGGCTCGTATTCTTGAAGTCGAGGAAAATAATTCATACAATCATGTAGGTTGTTGGACTCTTGAGGGGCTGCCGCTGACAACCAAGCGCTTTCGCTTTCCTGACCTCCTGCTCAGAGCAAGTGCCAGTGCAGTGGAAATTCCGGTAGTAGTTTCTTTCGTCTGTTGCCGAGATGAGAACTGTATTATGTAACTGAAATATCTTGAGGTATGGCATTCCATCATCGCAGAAAAGTAGAGAAAGATGATTTCCCAAACCGAAAAGCCAGACCAAGCTGCCATCGTATTGAACGAGTACACTGTAGAAATTGGTCACTGTCCCGGCCC